TGACTTTGGAAAAACAGCTCAAATACATTATTCTGTATGTGTTTTCCAACTTCCAACAAATGGTTATGTTTAAGGGCTTCTAACAGGTTGATTCCTGGTTGTATCAAAGCTCAAGGGAAACGCAATATAAAAGGGAAACCAAAGCAAGCCAGTTATCACTATGTCCTTTATGCAGAGTCACTTAGCCATGAAAGAATTAAAAAAGCACAGAAATGAGAATGCTAATACCACTTACATAGGGAATTTATACCAGCAAAGAACTAGACTTGGTGAATCATATCTTCTGCACCACTGACTCAGATGGGGGGAGCAGGATCTGGATATATCATTAGCTTTATGTCCCAGAGAGCTCAGCGGCCAGGCAACGCTTCTACTGGGGTGGCTCTCCAGTGCTCCGCTTTACACCACTTGACTTGCGCAGAGTGAGGGATCTCTAGCAGATCAGAGAAATTACGCCTTCAGCTTTATATGATAAGCTCTATTTTATAATGTGGAATTATTTTGTAGTTGTCAAATGCAACAGAACTGTAATCAGCATAATTTGACATTTTAATATACAATATAATTCAATCAAACAAAAATTTCAAAACAGTTTTGATTGAATTAAAAAAAATCAAAAGAGCTGAAATGAGTAGTTTATGTAAATTAAACAATTCTTTCTGGATACATTCCTTCTGGCTTTAAAACCATTACATTAGGAATGAATTTGGCACAATATGCAGAAATATCAAATGCTTATTGAAATTAACACATTTAAATACCAATGAATATTTAAACTACAAATAGTTCTCTGAACACCAGAGCTAATGAAGTCTAGTTTCATATGGATTTTTCTGTGGTTGAAACATATCTTACAATCTCTCTCAATCATGTGGATTCCTAGGAATCTACTAGTGCATGAGTTCATGCTATACAATTTCCCTCAGTTAAGTATTTATAGGATCTCTCTCCTTACCTAAACACTCACTGTAATGAAACATGCAGGAGTCTAATGATCTCTGAAACCTCAAGTGTTCTGTCTTATAAGGCTGAAAATTGCTAACAGGTTTAAAAGTTATTAGTGAGGAAAACTGTACAGAAAAAATAATCCTTAGAAAGCCAAATTAAAAAGTAATCAGTTTGTATGTGATTTCAAATTGATTAGTATTGTTCAACTATATTAGTCCAACACTTTTGTTCCAGTAATTCCAAGTTGCTATGTAGATGTAAGGGTCGACTGCCTATATACTTTCATGTATTCATGTCCTCACTTTGGATAAAAAACACTGTGTAAAATTTGCACATTATTGCATATGAATGAAGTGTTGCAACACCCAACTTATTCCACAGTTGGATGACAGACACTATTTATATTTTGGAATACTTAACTGTTTTATTTGAATTAGTTACCTGTTACTTTGTACAAGCTAGTCTGGACTTCGTAATATCAACTCCTACCAATGTCTTAACATGAAAGTTCAGAGAAAAGACTTACTGTGAGGAAGAACCCCACTGGACTATTAGGAAGCCATGACAACAAAAAAGACACCCTCCTCCTTCATTACTTACGTGTGCCCACTTCTTACTCCATATCTCAGGGCTGTATGTCTGACGTTCCTTTTGAACCCAGTGGTAGCATTTCAAATGCAAAATAATATCACAATAGGCAGTGCCATTTCCTCCAGATTCATCGTTCACTTTAAACAACCAACGCCGCACTTCCATATTGTCAACGATCAGCTGGCTGAGAACACTAATCATCTGTGGAATAACAACACAAAGATATTTTGCGCTATAACAATATTAAACTGTTCCTCAATTCAGACTTGCAGTTCTCAAACACTTGGACTTGAAATTTATTTTCTAAATATGGTTTCTTTTTCTTAGAGATGCTTGTGTTATCTTGGATATGTGTCTTGGATATGTAGATGAAGCAATCTTGAACATTTTTGATGAAGAATCTATGGCCTTCATCCTGTACTTGAGCCCACTTGTGCAGACTACCAAACAGCGCCTGAGCACCTTTGGGTGGTCAGTGAAGCTGCATTCTGCAGAGGGAAATCTGCCTGTCCAGGCTTTTTTGTCTGGTCAGGATCTTAGGTTTTGCATAATCAGTACTGCTCAATAAATGTTTGCGACAAGGAACTACATGGGACGGACTACACTATTTGCAAAATCTGAGAAACAATTGTGCCAGATTCTAACACCAGCCAAAACATCTGTGAAATTTTCCTACTGAAGAGTACATTATATGGTTATAAATGTATGAAGGAATTACCAGGCAGGCTTTATAAAAATGCTAATTATTTATTTGTGTATGTACACAGATTTAAATGGCTTTAAAATGCCTTTTGCCCAGCTGGTGTAGGATGCAATTAGCTTCTTAGAAACTGCAAATGCCTTTGAACCTGGTAAAAGTTGTATCAGATCTTGTTGTATTGGCTACAGCCTTCTACATTTTTACATATTAATTTTTGAGACTTTTGTCTATTTTTTTTTTTAATGTTGACCTAAAATACAATTACATGTGTGTTCCAGATGGTATTATTTGTGGCTTTTGAGAATCACATAAGTGTTTTTTTTCTTGATGACTCCCATACACTAATGAAAAGGATCAATAACATTGTAAGGACTATACCAATCATACAGGATTATGTGCTATCTTTAAGTGAAAATTGAATTGTGCTTTAAAATAGCGTCACCTTGCTTTGATTATTTAACCAAAAATGTCAATATTTCATACAAGCAAACAGTAGAACTTCCATAACACTGTAGTATGAATCAAAAGTATTAGATTCACATACATTATTTCACAATAAATCGGTTGTTTTTCAGATCATTGATCATATATTTATTTCATCTACTATAGAAGTTGCAATCTATTTGTGTAGCTTAGATTTGTTTTCAGTGTTAAAGGTGATTAATAAAAAGCAAAGCAATGTGAAAAGCTTCTCTAAGAAGTCGGAATACCTACAAACCATGGCACTGATTATTTTCCTGTACGAGGTGTAGAACCACCACCGCAATACTTTTGAAAAAATCAGCATGGATCATACTTAGACATATCATTGCAAATTGCAAAATCAGCTGATAGAATGGAATACTGATGCACTGAATGCAAAATAAACATATGTAAAGTGAACACAGTACAGAAAACTCTTGTGCCTTGCAATTTCAATTTAGTAATATTTTTTTCTTCTCTTAGTGGTCATGCTAACAAGACAGATGAATTTAGCAATGATAAGCCAGGTACGAGGTAAAACTCCAGCTGCAGATATGCTCCATGAACCTCAACTTGAATAGGCTAACTTCCCAAGTGGAAGAAGTTTTTCCTTCATCAAATACTTAATTTCCCAGAAATCCCTGTTCTATTTTCAGTCACTGGTAAAATGCCTATTAATCTCGCTGAGGCCACGACTTCATTCATGGAGCAGCAAGACAAACTGAAATAACTGGACCAAACACCCTTATATATTCTCAAGAAAGATCACGAAGAATACCAGAACAATTGTATTACTTCCTGACTAGGATACAAATTGCATGTAACTGGTCAGACAGAGCCAAAAAAACCCCCAACCTCATACATGACTTAATCAAACGCAGTTAGGGTCTAATGAATACAGTCGTTGCGATTGTACAAAGTTTGCATCCTATCAAGTGAAAACAGGCGTATGTATGTTGACGCATCCCTGACCATGTCGTGCTTACCTGTTCATTGTTGTAGATGTCAGATTCTCCAGGAGGGGTTGGCACACAAGCACTGGCAAAAATTCGTTTACTTCCAGACTTGGTACTGTAGAGATGAGCCACTTCTGGCACCGAGCCTAATATAGGCACATTTAGCATGTCAGCCACTGCTAAATCATCTTTGTGCGGTACCCCTCCAATAATGTAGGCATCTCTGCTCTGGATAAGAATTTTTATTCTTTTGATTGTCTTGGGACTGTACTTCAGCTGAGTGGCTAGGCACATGTGATGCTTCTGTATAAAGATAACATTATTCTTGTTAAAAGGTGTTCTTTGCTATTCCATGAACCTAATTTATAATGTTGCACACAATAAATACATTATTAATAGCAGGCTGGGTTATGACCTATCCTGTAGCTTAGCAGTTTAAATTGATAAAAGCTGTTGGGGTGAGGCTCCATAATCGTGCACATCTTTAGTGTGTTGGAAATGGGCTCACTGGGAATAGAACTAATTACTACACATCTGTATTTATTTGATCCATGCGGAATTATCCTTCTGTCAGTCGGCAGAGAGGCTGGTGGCCTTTGGATAATAGTGATTCATCTCAGCAACACTTCTGGCATGGTTTAACTCTAAAGCTCCTAAAAATCAATACAAAAATGAAGAAAAACCCCTATAGCAGGGAGTGTATTTCACCATACAGTTCAGCAGTATTTTAAGCGTTTCTCTGAGAATAAAACACTTTGATTTAAAAAAGCTTTCACTGATCACATTAAATTACTGGGGAAATATACATTTCCATTACACAGTAGTTCTGATAGCTACTGTAAATGCAATTGCAGAGTAGTCAAGGAGAGGGTAGTATTTTTGTTGTTGTTTAAAGTACAAGGGTTTCAACTTTTCGGAAGGAATTTTTCATTTCTTCTAAAAACCGAGATCTATTGCTGAACGAGCTGCTCATGATAGATGCTATAATCTCTAAATTTAAACTAAGAATATTAGTTATTGCAGGTGAAACCTCAACAATATTTTCTACAATATATGCTGTGCATGGCCTGCAGATAACCCAATTGTCTTTCCAAAGGTATAGATAGAGATGCGCTGTGGTTGAGACAGATAGGGATGGACATCATGCAGAAATAGTATGAGAAGCATCTGCTGCAATAGATTGCCATAAACAAATCATAACCATAACAAGAAGAAAATCTTCACATTGAGATGTCATCTAATTTAGGCCCTAGTCGGAAAGAAAATGCCTTTTCAGGATAGCAAAAATACTGGATTTGCTAGGGATTTCCAGGGCTGGAAAACCCAGAATCTTTTCCTTCAAAGTCCTGGATGCTCCCTTCACAATGACTGAAGTAGAAATCCCGATTCCACTACTTGGGTGGGGATGATGGTAGATAAGGAGATGGAGGAGTCCCTGGAAGTGGACAAAAGGAATCCACTTTTGTCAATTCCTTAGTGCTTTCTCAAACGAAACACACAGCTCCTAGAAGTGCCCAGGTCTCTCTTTACAGAGTCAGACATACTGCAAGAACAGTGAGGAAATGAGATACTCTTCAAAATTCTAGTAGGAAAAAGGGAGTCACAGAAGTATAAGGGCAAAAAGGACAACAAACAAGTTTCCTGGAGTCTTTTTCCTTCCGTCACCTTTAAAACAGAGACTCTTAATGTTCCGATTCATTTGTTTCGTTTCTCCTGAGCACTGGTAGCGAAGCAGGGAGATGGCCCGTTCTGTTGGTCTCGTGGCAGAGTTCTGCCGTGTAGAGAACAGGATCAATTTCCAGCCCCGGTCACTTGCTCCCTGGGGCCACGAGTGGTGATGTAGGGACGAGATTTGCTTTGTGTCCCTCAATAATGGATTTTACAGTTAATTAAGGAGTGCAGGAAACGGGCTGTAAAATCTAGTTCATTCCTGTTTTGAGGGGTATAGCTGCCATGACACATAGTAGGGCGAGTGAAAGCAGGTAAAAGCAGAACTGAGGAATCCTCAGAATTTCAGCATGACTGCACAGAATAGTGATTAGGAGGTTAACCAAAGGGCTAGTTCTTGGTTCTCAAGCCTGTTTGGTTTTTTTTTTTTAACTTCTTAAGAAAAGAGAAGCTGACCTTGGCATCAGCCTCACTGTGATGAGCAAAGCTACCACTATGCTGTTTTGATATGCTGCTAGTGCAGAATCAGGGTAGTGTAACCCTTTGTCAGAAGTGTTTCACATTGCGCCTGGATGCGCTGAGTCACACGACGTCATTCTAATAGCAAATGCCTAAGGACAACATATATGGTCACCCTTTTCTCACAGTCTCTCACTGCCTCCCCTGTGCAGATGCCAAGGAGCACAGGGCTACCTGCGTCTGGGTGTCTTTTCCACAGATTTTCTTTCCATCCAGTTCCATCAAAATAGCTAGGAAACTGGGCAAGGCTGATTTGTCCTTCTAGAATTGCTCAAAGGACCCTGTTAAGTGGCCTTCAAGCCACACTTTCATATATAGCAATAAATTTAGATACATTAGGTACAACAAAAGCCTTTTATTAAATAAATCAGAATAAAGATCCTAAAAAGGACCCTATAAAACTTTAACCCTTACACAAACAAAATGACAACTAAATCCCTGGTCACTGAAGGCAACGGACGACTAGGATCAGATTCTTCTCCACAGAAAAGACATTTCTTGGACACATTAGTTAATAGATGGTAAAGAACACATGCTTAATGAAAACAAGGTAGTTTGAGGATTTTTGTATGTAAACGGGTCCACCGCACTGAACAGCCGAGGGCATACCTCAACCGGGCATCACGTAAAACCTGTGACTGCACATTCTTTCTGATGGCCCTTGGCACCATTACACTTCTCAGCATTCCACAACTGGGCGAGCGGTGCAATCCATAGCTATGAAAGAACCACTTAGCCCTTGCACCTCAGGTTAGCTCCCTACATCAGAGCACGTAACTTTTCCCAGTAAATCATAGCTGCATAGTACAATCTCACAAAGCTGTTCGCTCTTCACCTGGAAAAGAAACTTTGTTTGGAATATTTCAACAGAAATTTGAAGAACGAAGGCTATACACAAGAGATGCATGCCTGAAAACAACTTGCTTTTACATCTAAACTGCTTCAGCCAAATTACCATGACCAAAATCATCCATGAAAGCCGTTTTCCACTCCTGGTCAGCCTGTCCATATTTAACAGCACATCTTTTATTTGTAATATGATGTGTTTTAGAGGACATTTTTAGCATGTTTGGTGTAAAAGGCTTCAAAAGCTTCCAATATTTGGTAGTTAGTACTGGAACAATAACCCAGTATCCAGAGAAAAAACACCTACAGTTTTCAAAATGTAATTTAAAAAGAAAAAAATGTATCACCGGTATTTATCAAGTATTTACCATCCCAATAATTTTACTTCACAAGGTGAAGGCCCAGCACAGGCAGCTGTGATTCTGTATTCAGATAAAAGGACAATACTAAAGAAAAGCCAGCTCCTAAAAATACAAATATCACCTTGATGCTTTTCTCCAATTTCAGAGAAAACAGAACACATTCATATCTATAGAAATCATTTTAAATATGGCAAAACTATCAGACTGCTCTGACTCAGGGGTCCCTCCCTATACAGCAAAAGAGCAAAGCACTTTTCTCACATAGCTGTTTTCAGACTATTTCAACAGAAAAGGATTCATACATATACGCAAGTGTTTTGCTGAACAGTACACTACTATAGAAATGCATTTGAAAACCAATACACTTATGAAACATAAAAAGCTTCTTTACCTTCTGAAGCCATCAGTTTCAATCAGTACATGGTATAACAAATACTTGTTCAATAAAATAATTAGAAGAGGGTCATTAATATATATTGAAAACAGGAGCAAGGCTTCAAGCGTAGACTCCAGAGATATAAATGTACCCAAAGTTTCATAAAAATCAAGTCTCAGCTAAGACACTGGGGACTTAATATTTACAATCTAAAATTATTCTCCAACTGTAAAGAGTCTTCACTGCACTACAGTTATTTTCAGAAACACTGTATGTAGTGTACATTAATTAAGGTATCTTTTTAGACCATGTTTTAGCACATAGATTTAACACTGACTTGACAGGTCTGGAACTAATATCTCTATTACCTAACCTAACCTAAGTAGTTTTAAGTTCTGTTCTTTAAGAAGAAGTTCTGCATTGGATTCAGTTGCAAGAAACACTACACACACATGAATGATTGAATGCTGGTCTACCCAGAGATAAAGTTTGAATAATAAGAATGGTTTATTGCTATGATTTGCTTAGAGATATAAATCTATCAAATTCCCAGTCCCAAGCATATACTAAGAAAGGACAGTGGTCCACAAATAACCAATATAGGACTATCTCAACTAAGACTATAAAGCTAAACCAGGATATTTATTTCCAATGCTTTAACTAGTAGTCTAATCAGTAAAGCCCTTAAACTTGCAATAATATTTCACTGATGTGTACCAGAGCGTTACAAGTTATAAAATTTCCAATTTAATTTTACTGCATCCCTCAAGCTGTAGTAATTAGAAGACAAACTCACAGGGAAGCTGTTTATAGCTTCAGGGGTGAGAATTTTGAACCTGTCCTGCAGGTCACCCATGTCCTCAGGGTTCCCAGATCTAACAGCTGCCTGCAGACCCAGGAGTTTATTGTAATACTGCAGTAACTCCTCACTCAGATGAAGGGGGCAGATGTAGATGACGTCCACGTTGGCATCTAAAACAAAGGGGCACAATGTTCATTACTGGGAGAAAGGTAGACTCCATTCAGAACAGCAATCTGATAATTCCTGATCATTTGCTAACAGCTTCCCTAAAAATAGCACTGGAAATAAAAATGAGATCTGCAATTCCCAAATCTTAGTGGTTTAACTGCTTTTTCTGTGCTTCAGCATTTCTCTGAAGACAGGTCAGCAACCCAAAGAAATAGCTAGTTTTCGGAATTCAATCTGCAGAACATATTGGGGGCAGAATTTTGAAAGTGTGGCAGGGGGATTTATACGCGCGACTCACATTAACATCAATGGGAATTGCGCACTGCTTTAAAAATATATCCCATTAACTTCAGTAAATTATAAAACTTAGCTATTAAGTTTAGAAAGCTGATGAAATTGCAATTCCATATGCTGCCTGGATTTTGCATGGCCTGTTCCTACTCTTGTTTTGTCCACATAAAAGCTCACGGTAGGATACCATTAATAACTATTGCTGAGCATGCGAGTGTGCAGATTAGCTAGTTAAATACCACAGTGTGAAAATCTGTTTTTCTGCACGTAAAACAACTTGGGCTGAAAGACAGTGTATGCACAAACACTTAGAGATGAGAAAGTGAAAGTCTTTAATATATGCCCTTTTGGAAAATTTTAAGTATTCTGCTCTTCCAAAATATTCATGATAATAGATGAGCTAATGAATTAATGGGCCTTGCAACACCAATAGAATACACTGCCAAAAAGCTTGCTGAAATTGGTAGGAAGCCTTTCATTGTCTTTACTGGGCACAGGAACAAGAGCCTGGGAAGTGCCAGGGACAACTGCTATTACACATGAATGCATCAGAAGCAAAGCAAGTATTGGACTAACAATAGTTAGTCTGAGCCTAACGTTATAAAGGAATAAGATATCCCATTCATTCACTTTGTTTTGCCATACTGCTGCAGGCAAACAATCCACATTAAAAATGTAAGGCCAGAATCTCAGGTGAAGCATTAAAGTAGTGCAGCATCCAACAATCAGCCCTGTATCTGAAGCCCTGACAGAGCCTTTACATAATACAGTTCATTACCATATAACTTTTAAAAATAATTAAAAGAACAGTTCACTAGAACTGTTACTCAATACTCTGTTGCTTTTAGGCATTTACTCAGACTTGCAAAATGAGCCTGAAAATCTACCAGCTAGGGTATGAAAAGACTACTTGCCAATGTTGGCTGTAACGCTGAACGGACTGGACTGTCAAAAATTGACAGGCTGAGGTGAATTTGTTGAATAAAATGCTGCAATACATTTTACTACTCCTAGCACTGCCCTATAAAGAGATACACAAGTCTCCTTTGGACACAGTGGGGCTCCAGAGACAGATTAACTCATAGGAGGTCACAAGCAGCAAGGAAACCCTCTGGTATTCTAAAGAAAAAGAAAACCAATAGGGTAAATATCAATGCTCTTCTGCCAGCCACAGGTAAAGCATCTGATCTAGTTAATAATTTAGTTTATATTTAACTAGTTTGTATCTCACTCATGGTCTATTTCATATTTTACAGTAGAACCAATGTTCATGTTCACAGAGTTTAAAGTGAGAAAGAATGCCCGTTTAATGTGTTGACTTTGTCCCTTTAAGTTTCTAACTATCATTTTAGAGACAAAAAAACCCCTATGTTAAAAAAATGAAAAAAAAACCCCAACTGTACTGTGGAAGAACAATATTAGTGCCTAGATAATATATAAAAGCAATTACATTATTATTTTAGGCAACTGTAAATTTCTGGATCCAATACATTTTTGTTACAAACTTACTAAATGGCATTTATAAAATAATAATGATACTGAAATATATATGAATCGTGTAAAGTATGTCACTCCAGGCAGCCAATGAAGTTGGTCACTGACAAGTAATATTCTTCACTGCTTTGCTTAAAAGAGGACTGTCATTCTAGGAAAAACTTTTAAATGTATGTCTTTTGCCTCATTTGCTAATTTTAAAAAATTTGGTTTAAATAAGGGCTTGCTCTTTTCTAGCAGATCTTTCTCTCCATATGAGCCTGAATGAACACTAGCAGAATTAGTTACCGAATTTTGTAGAACACTAAACACTTTTGATCGTTTGTGGTGCTCAGCATTCCACAGGATGAGGCTGCTTTACCTTATCACGGAGTTGGAAAGAATCAGCATGTTTTTCTTATGAATAACACAGACAGGAACAAATGCCATAGCAGATAAATTACTCCTGAGCTTATATGTTCTCAATATTTAACATTAATACAAAAAGAAAGTCCTCATCGGTCATTCTCTATTACTCACAACTATGGGCAAATAAGGATCAAAAAACAGGCAGCCAACAGCTCATAACATACCCAGTATATCACATAGCCTTCCCATCTGCATATTCTGTTGGAGAGCGAGATCAGGAATGTGCTCACGGATGCATTGGGAATATCCTGGAAAACAAGTAAAGCCCCCCCCCCACTGTATTCAGAATCCCCTTGGTACATACTTTAAAGAAATCAGACTTTTGAATTAAAAAAAGCTGTAATAAAAGTATTTCAAATCCCAAACATGGTATAGCATTAATCGCATCATCTTTACAAATTTACTTTTATTAGTGAACTGATGGAACATCATACTTTTATGCCATGAGATTTTAAATACAGACCTAAATGTTACAGACCTATAGAGCTTTAGAATTTAAACATGTAGGCTGAGTATTTTGTTTGAGTCTTCTATGTTGCCGGATTTATTTTAAACACTGGAAAAAAATGACACCATCATTAAGCAAGAATCCTGGTACCTTTTGTCCTTCACACAGATAAAAGGCAACGGAACCACTTCATTAAGAAGATGTCTCAGTGATATCTGATCACTTTGTTGTAGAGATGAATGAGTGGCAGCCTGTCTGAGCTTGGATTATCTATTTGGAAGTCAGACTTTCAACTGATTGCATACTTGCATTCAAAAAGACTGCAGTAAATGACGTGACCATTGTAACTATAATCTCTAATCCTGTAATTTTTAAATTGAGCTAATTCTAAATTAATCAGTGTGTATATACCAACACACACACCACACAATGTGAGTTGCTAGTTGCAATAGCTGTGATTGATTCAATAAGGAAGTTAAGCCTAACACTCAGTGTTTGGCATAAAATCTTGACTGATCTGGTAACAAGATCCTTACAACATTTCCATATATCTGCACATGACTAATCATCTGAAACTTATTAAAAACTTAGTGTGACTAAAATCTGCTCAGTATTTCAGCATTTTCCTTTTGGAAGATAGTAATATTGGATCTTCCAGGCAAATTGCAAGGACAATTTTTATAAGTAATCAGCATTACAAGGTGTGTAGCAATGACACTTTGCACACAGGAGAGCAGAACATAATAAAATACAGATAAATAGAAACGACCAGTTTAATTTCTAGTAATTTCTTGTAAAACTTACATATTGTAGTTAGCACAATGGTTCCAGGCACCTGCAGAACTACATCAGCGTAAAAGATATCCATTTTTTTTCCACTCTAATATTTAGCTACAGGAATTTGAAAAAGGTTGCTCTGATTACTTAAACTTCAGTCTTGAGGTTTCATTTTGTTCTCCCAGGTGGAGACCAGTTTTAATCCACTAACACTGCTGCCTAACTATCAAAACTTTTCAAACGTAGAAAGTAGATGACTTCCCTTCAAGAGGACTAAACTGTCCTCTTGAAGACACATTTGTTTTTAAGAATTAAATCTGGGCAGAAAAATACCATGCAAATATCACTTGGCAAAATCAGTAATTATTTGAAAGCGTAGTTACAGTAGCAATCGAACAAAAGTTAAAACTTGCATGTTGCTGTGGTTCTGCAGATACACGATAGCATTGTGCCGACTACCACACGTACTTTTCTTAGATATATTAATAAAATGTATTAATTCACAATATCTTAGCTTGCATTGACATGACCCCATTAGATTTAATGAGAGGAATATTCACTCCTTTTGAATCATTCAAATTCCAATGGACATTATGAACCACATGAATCCTCACACCCGATACATTTTGAATGCTCTGGACTTACATGGCTGGTGACCTCATCTGACAATTCTTATTAAAGGCAGAAGCTTAATACTCCTTTCCTTGCAGTCTAAACAAAACTCAACCCAAATGAGTTACATATACTGTGATCATACTCTGCGTGTTCCAGTACAACTATAAACCTGTTTTGTTATATACAGCTGGTTTGTGCACCACTAACATTTTGCGCTACAGCATTTGGTCTCAAATGCATGAAACGTTTCAGATAAATTTGCATTTTCCAGAAGCCAAAATTCCTATTTTGATTCAAAGAACCACTACTTCAGTTCATCTATACCTGCAATCTAGATAAGTTAAACTCCACATTGTGTCTGAAAACAGCGATGTTGAGAAAAGCCGGTGGTGGCAGAGCACTTGAGGATATGGCTGTTCATTTCCACAAGGCATCGGTGCATCGTGGCACCCTGCTGGGAGAGCTGGTCTGCAGGAGGGTCGACCTTGCAAAACGAGAACTAAGAATTTTGATTTCTCAGTTCAGTGGCACTGAAAGGACACCGAGGGCCTTCCTCCTTCACATGAGTTTTATGGTAGCGTATGTGCAATGACTTCAGTGGAATGCTCCCATTTCACACAGGGGGAAGTGTAGGGAGTTACAGAACTACCAAAAAAAAAGGGGTGTATGAATTAATGGCAAAGGCCCTGCTTCCAGCTCCCCTTTCACCCTCAGCCATGACATAATGCCTTTTAACTGCCATTTTCTTAAGAAAATTTGTTCGTCTCAAAGTGTCTTCTCTCAACAAAGAATCTACAACACCTTTCAAACTTGCCTTTGAAAAAAGCAGTAGCAGTACAGAGCAGGACATGGATGAAGGTTTAAGTAACCATGGGTTGATGCCTGAGAGGAAGGAAGAAGTTGAACTATCTAGGATTCAGCCACCTTGTTCTTTCCAGTGCTTGGGACAGGACTAATAAATAATATCTAACTTTTCTAACTATACTTGGCACACCTACCGTTCAACTAAAACGGCTTTTAAAAAGGATTCGTGTATCACACAAGAGGAAGCTTTGGTATATAACCTACTGTATATTTAAGGTGTATATATACATGTCATGTAAATAAGACAAATCTTATTTCTTGTAAATGTAACTATTCGGGTAGAAAGATTGATCAGTCATTTAAAAATAGTTGAATAAAAAGAGAAACAGTATTTGAATCCCAAATATTGCAGAAGTGTATTCATCCATTACCGTGTGGGAGTAAATCTGATTTGAAACTTCAAACTCATTTTTCCTTACACTAACTGGCAAAAATGCTAAGCAGTCTTTAAAGAATTGAATCTACTTTATTTTTTTAGCTGCACTAGAAATCTGAAGTTTTTGTTTTGGTGAAATAAATGGAAACATTTGTTCCTCACAGCAGTATAATTTAAACCCTCACACTATTCCTTTTCCTGGATTATTTCCAGAAACTTGACAAGAGTCTGCAATAGTGAAAATGAAAACTGCTGAGAAATTCAGTTATGGCTCTGTCTCCGTTTGTTGGAATTCCACTTGCATGGGAAGAAAAAGTCAGACTCTGACTTGCCCTAAATGCTGAAGTGAAGAAAATGTGAGTAGAGAATTTCAGGCCCTATTTTTGATTTACAAAACTGAAGGAGAAAAACAACTAACAGGATATCAATCTTCTGTCTCTTCGTGTTTATCTGCTCTGTCCCAGAGCAGATAAGTTTAGACACATTTTTATGATTACCAAGACTCAGG